GGGAACAAAATCCCTCATGGAGGAGGTTGCCTGGGATTTTAACCTCCCTCCCACTTCAAATTTCCAGGCATATTTGGAAGAAGTCCAAGATAAGTGGTCCCACATCCCATCTGAATTTAGGTCTTCCCCAGGGATGACCCAACAACATTGGAAGGAGTGTAACTCGGGAAACAGACACCTAGTAACCCGAGTATCAATACATGGGTTCCACTTCAAAATCTGCAAAAGACCAGATTTCCATTCTCCAATGCCAGACTGCATTTGCTCCTTATGTAGTGGATGTGCATCCCATCTCTATCATCTATTACAATGTCCAGAGAACACAAAATCCCTCAAAGCATGGGATAGCAGTGAATAACTGCTACCGCACATGTGTGATTTTCAACCCTATCTGCTCCTTCATGATTGTCCTATTGTGATCTCCTTCTCTACCTCCACCTTGGTGCAATAAATAAATAATTCAACATATGAGAACATACACAGCAAGTGGAAAATTATAATTAATAGAGAAGCAAATTTGGCCCAGACGCATCGCCCCAAGGTTTTCCCTTTAGTTTGTGACCTAGAGAAGCATAGGCGTCTAGGCTCAGGCTAGAGCAGTAGAGTACTACGCCTGATAAACCGAAATGTTCCTGGATGCGAATGACTTAAAAGAGAAGCCGTTTTGAAGAAGAGATTCCGGATGGGTGGAGTATCGTTTCGACATTCTTTAAGCTGGCAATACGTAGATGTCATGTGAATTCCCATGGGGAAACAACGCACCTGCGGCTCGAACAGAAATGAAATGTATTTAGTTCACCAGATAATGCAAGAAGTGACGTTTGTTTACGGAAAGATACCAGCAAGCCATCGTCATCCAGTATGAGTCAAGAGGGAAAGAAGTGAAAATTACGGAATTAGTTCAGCAGTGAAGACTTGGCATTCATATCTAAAATGAAGATTATTCTAGCGCTGTGTGCATTGGTAAACCTTCTGGAATTAATCCATGCGCGTGAGTGGGATTTCTTTACTCCATTGGAGTTCATAATATACGTGGTATATTTCCGCTGCTCTAGTTATCTTTCAAAATGTAAAACATGATTTCAATTTCCAGTCTGTCCAAAGTTAAATTTGGGCTGAGCGATATGGGTTTTCAATGTATACATATCGTCGACCCATATATCGCGCGATATCACCGGACAGGGGGGGGGGCGGGGTGGTGCATGGAGGAGCATTTATTTTAGGAACAAACTATTTTGGTTATGGATTCCAACATGGTGGAATGAAGGCACATTACATCATTGTATATCGCGGCCCAAAGCAAAGAAAGGTAACATATCGTCGTTTCTGTCGCAAGGCATGCACGATATTTGTTTGCAGAAAATGATTCAATGGTCTTTCTAGCGGCGGGACCCACCACCACATTTGAATTGAGGATGCTTGCGAGCATGATGCAAGAGATTGGTCTTATTCCTTGAAAGTGGAATTTTCTTCTTTTCTTTCGATGAAAGCCACTTTTCCATATACTGGGTGTTTATTGCATCTATCGCGAGAATAAAATCTTTATGCATTCCACACCACAGACTTTCATGAGGGTAAGGTATGAACTTCCAGTCACACTTATTGGTCCTCTCCCTCCGCCCTGCACTCCGAAGTTTCGCACAGCACCCACAAAAATCAGCCTTGATTCGATAGTGCTCAGGGGCTCTCTGAAGCAGAGTGAATACTTTCACCAAACACCATAAGTTATAATAATTCATCTATAAACACCATAAGTTATAATTCATCTAAAAGTGCACGGTATGCCCTTTCAAACGATACCAAACTCAATATTGGCGCTCAATGGCTTCACGAGATAACGATTTAACAAGAACATGAGTTCACAGAGTGCTCCAAAAGGGAATCATGGGAATGTAGCGTTATGGCAAGCCGTTCAAGAAGTGAATTTCTTATTTTTTTAATTTATGCACTTCTATCATGTTCCTATACTGCAAAATCGCAGAATAATTGCACGGAATTTCAATAAAATAATTTGCATTCCATTATTATCCTTTCAATTTATTAAAGTACTTCAAGGTCATGCGGAGTGTCCCAGATAAGGGGGAGTGAGGACATAAGCCGGAACAGCCAGGCAGGCTCCTGTTTTAAAATTTTCTTCCTCCAACTACCAAGTGAAGATAATCGTTCATCATTCTACTATTCACTCCGAAGAGCCTCTTTCATGAAATGCTCTAACTTCTTTTTGCAATTTCGCCCTATAACGAGAGTAAAAAGCCAGGAAGTGATGGAAACATTGAGAAAGATATCGTGAAAAAAAAAGTATCCTAAGGACTTTCTTGAAATTCAAATCGTCACAAAACTTGGTATAGGAATGGAGGTGGGAGTTCCATCAAGTCAGAAGCTGCACACCTACAGACCGTAATGAATACCTTCACGAAACGACTACCGAAAATTCTCCGAAAAAATTCATGAAATTTCGCATAAGACTCGCCCAGACAATGGTCTAACTAAAGTAGTTAACATTTGTGAGAAATGAACCCCTGTCCGGAAAGGCAGCCTGATCAGCACATTTGAAGTTTGGATTTTTCTCAGTAAGTCGATTGTTTTACCTTTGACCCATGATGCAAGGGCGGAATTTATATCAATGGAATTCAAGTCAATGAACACTGTCTCAGTTGAATGACTGTTGATTTCACATATCTGAAGTAAAAGGTTTGGGAGCTATGGCCATCTCGCTTTAGCATCAAGAACAAAAACTTCAGCGAAACTGTAGTTCGGAGGTCATTCTGAAACCCGTCCTTCCATTTCTATTGATACCCCATACAATAATTTTAAGACAACTTTAAAATCCCTGACTCCATTTTTGAGTTCCTTTCTTCTTAAACACTTTGCGTACCGCTCACGGAGATCTCGGTTTTTGAGTCCTTTCGCGAAGCCTATAGCCGAAAAAGTGATAGCCTTGTAGGTGTCGAGCTTTAGACTAAGGTAGCTGAGGCTTAGGTCAGAGCGGCGGATCGACGGGGTAAAATGTCTGGTAAGCAATGTATTACAATTAAAGTCAAGTTGACAGTATATGAAGTCAGGCTATGAAGACATATATTCAGACTTTTGATGTGATCATTATAGTTTATCAATTTGACAGCGTAGTTTCATGGCTTTTCCTGTAATTGCATAAAAATTGGAAAGGTAACCTTTTTTGAGAGTGCTTTTTACTTGACTTTCAATTAGTCATTCGCCATTCATGCTGTTTCGGTTTATGAACTACCTAATCACGATACATTAAATTTGCTACGGATTTTATCTCCGTAATTCCAATACGCAGGAATTTGGTGCACCACGTGTTATATAATCAAAAGGGTATAATCAAAAGCAGACGCTTCTTACCTGATACGAGGGATGTTCAAAAAGTTCTGGGAGTTCCGACAGAGTAGAAAAGGAAATCGAGCTTTACCTATTTTGATCAGAGGTTTTGGATAAAGGCTTACCTTGTTCATTATGGAATCTAGTGTTGGAATCCAGAATAATCTCCTGAGCGGAGTTATTCATCTCTGTTTTTTTTTCGAAGCCATAGATGACGTGGTGAAATCTTTGTGAGTGATTATTTTCTTTTTGTGGGTAGATGGTGCACGCGGTTCTGATATCGTTCAGAGGCTGCAGCCTGCCTTGAGAATCTGCAGAAACTAAGAGTACCATTTACTGGTGACTGGAGCGGTTTAAAGATGGTCGACAGACCTTAGAAGACGACCCTCGCAGCGGTCGCCCTCAAACGGCTACCAACGATGAAATAATTCACGCTGCGGAAACTATTCTTATGAAAGAGCGACGAGTTACCGTTCGGGAGCTTGATACTACCCTAAGAGTAAACACTGACAAGGCTCATGAGATTCTCCATGAACATATCTCGGTATGACGAAGTTTCTATCAGATGGGTGCCTTGCGTGTTGGGGGCCTGGAAAAAAGGTCGATGGAATGGAAACATGTCGAGAGCTGATTAACTCCAACTTAGCCGAGGAGAGTTTTTTCGACCGTATCATCACTGTAGATGAGACGTGGCTTCGCTACTTCCATCCAGAGACATCCAGTTTAAAGAAGGATCTCCTTTGAAAGCTCGATCTGTTCCCACTTTCGGGAAGGTTATGATGTAATACGGTTTTCTGGGATTCAAGGCCCCACACCGCGCCCTTAATTAGAGTAGCCTAAACATAATTGAGGAGGGAATTGCTCCCGCATCCGCCATGCTCACCAGGTCTGCCTCTCAGTGACTATGACCTCTTCGACAAGATGGGGAAGCCGCTGTGAAGAGTGCGTTTTGATTCCCTCAATTCAAAGAAAACTGCACTAAACGGGTGGATCAGAATGACTTCAAAAACTTTCATTTCTGACGGTCTAAGACAACTGATTCCACGCTGGAGAAAGTGCGACGAACTCGAAGGGTACTATGTTGATGAGTCATAATGTAATGGGGAGTAATAAAAAAGTTATCCAAAAATTATAAAGAAATTTCCAGAACTTTCTGAATGCCTCATGTACTTTACATTGACGTCCAGAGGAAACGTTATAAGGTAATGTAGGAAGCCCGCATAGTAGTTCCGATGGTATTGTATCTACACGTATACTGCTCTGAACAATTTTGAGTGATGTGCACCTGCTACGGCAAAAGTATGCCTTTTTAGATTTTCTCCATGCTACGAGATATGTAAGGTATATCTTGAATATTTCCATATTAAAAAATGGGGTTTATTTCACAATGTACGTCATATCGTCTCTTAAAATGATGGGAGACATGTCAAGGCTAAAACAACAACAAAGGCTCTAGGCTATTAACTTGAAGTTTTTCCTCTCACTTTATTGCAGCTTTTGACAGATCTCCCTTAAAATCATAATTCCCGTAGCTATTGGTAGTGCGCCTTTAATAAAGGTCAGACTTGTCAGGTTTCTGCAGAATCCACGAATTATATGTGAATAATATTTTTAGAAGAAATTTTTATTTTTAGGATTTCATGGTGACGTCCTGCTCACTACCCTCGTACCTCAGCTCTTAAACAGCGTAATTCTCGTGATGGAATAGTTGCTGACCGTGTAGGAAAATACTTCCATGCATATATCAACATTCCAGAAGGTCTTGGCGAAGGATGTGACCCAGCCCTGGGAGATGCGGCATGTGCAGTCCCTAATGCGGTATGCATTGACCTTGGTGACGGAATGAAATGCCATTGCAATACCGGATTCGTACCCGACGCTGGGACATGCAGTGAGTTACCGATATTTCATTCTTACCCAACGCCTGTGGGAGTAGAGTCCTCGTCAATATTTGCAACCGAAGCCCTGGCGATGCTTAGCTAACTCTTTCGCTAACATATTGAACTCATTCACAACGATTACTTACATTTTGCATTCAATAAATTGTCACACTGTTCGGTATTTTCAAAAGGGCAAGTAGGGATAAACGCAGAACATTTTGAAATCGGCGTTCATGAAAAATTATTGGCATACAGGAGATGATGTTCACCAGACTTAGTGACTATATTTGCGATTCTGTATTGTATTCAGAATTTCACATCTGCTAATTACCCTATCATGTCTTTTCGTGTCGCGCACAACCAGGAAAAACTGAGAATGCATGCGAGCAAATACATTTCTACAGTATAGGGTGTTTCAAAAAAGACACACCAACCTTTTTCTACGGGGAAATGGCAATATTTTGCTTAGGCGTATTCTCATGAAAATAAAAATCGACAAAAATCTAAATATGCCTTTCCCTGAGATTCGAATTGAATCCGAATGACTATTCCTTTAAAATGGCAAGATCAGAATATAAAAACTTAATTCCTAGGCATTTTTGATAAAAATGATGAATTAGGATAATTATGATACTGGTCAGGATCACTCTATGGAAAGCTAAACCAGACTCAAATCGAACCTTCCTAATTCTTAACTGAATAAAATATATTGAATTGAAAATGAAAATAAATTCTTTTTTTTTCAAAATAAATTTTTTCCTAGAACTCTTCTGCGGTAACCAGAAAGAAAAGTAACCATAAATTCAAGTGTTCTTAGAACTGTAGGCTGAGCAGGTACGCTGGAGGGATCAGGAATATATAGATGCAGTGCTCTAATAGTTCTGATTTAGTAATAGCTTTGCAATGTTCAATGCAAGTTTAGTCGAGCATCCGAGGGGAAGAGTAACGTAAGGAAAGATTTGAATGTTTGTATCCTCACATCAGAATCTCGAGTAAAATTTGTATTATTCTAACGGGATGGAACCAATCATTTCTTGGAGTGAATCTGATACCAAAAGGCAAATCCCACATGTTATCAATAGCTCACAGCCTACATTAAACTGCTTGTCAAATTAAGCCTGCTCTGCTTCATTATCAAGATGTTCTACCTTTAAGAAAATAGGCAGGAGTCAGAATAAAGTCTGGTCTGATTTTTTTTCCCTATGGGAATGAGTGTTATCCCCTAAAAAAAATAAGTGGAGCGTCTTTTTTGAAACACCCTATACGATATGGGGGAAATGTATCAGGAATGCTTCATAACTTCTTCAGAAACCAAGCCAAGTTCTCATTCTTCGCCCTACCTCTTCTATCGCTACTTTTTTTAGGTGGCACTTCAGTCAGGACGATCATGAAAGTAATTGAATGTTAAATTGAATTTTACTGAGTCCCTGAGTTAAATTTGAAGAATATTTTTATGAAGAGGAAGTGACTTTTTGTGTCGATTTTTTCTCTAAAATTTTTCCACAGCGATGTCCTGCTCACCTCTCCCTCTCCCCACCCCGGCTCTTTAACAGCGTCATGCTCATGTTTGTATCGTTGCTGACTGCGAAGGGAAATACTTCAATTCATTGTTACATTCATCCCAGAAAAACAAGGAGGACTCGGCGAAGTGTGTGACCCAGCCCTGGGAGATCAGGCTTGCTTAGACTCAAACGCGGAATGTGTTGATGATGGAACAGGCACAGGCGTCATGGTCTGCCGATGCAACTATGGATTCGTGCAACACGCAGGGATATGCAGTGAGTTGCCGATGTTGCATTCTAACCCAACGCCTATGGAACTACAGTAGAGTCCTTGTTGGTATTTGCAACTGAAGCCAGGAATATATGTAGCTAATTCTTTTGCGATTAAGGTCATTCGGGGTGAGAGTGATAAAAAAATTTGTTTTTAATGAATGGCAAAATTTATCTATGGCAGCTATAATGAAGTACTTTTGTGCACGTCAACCTTGGATTGTTAGATTGATTGATAAATTGTTTTTCTTTGGCCCACCCTGTGGAATGGGTAGTTTTTATTTACTTTAAGTCAGAATTGTTTTAAACTTTTTTCTGAAATTTAATGGAGATTGGGAGGTGACCTGACCATTTCAAATTATCTCCAGACTGACATTCAAGCAGTTTCAGCTCATGAGCTCCCTAATTCCGGTTCGTGAAATTTGCCACGAATTACATCGTCTGAGTACGCTGAAACTTAGTTCACTACGATTTGTTTTCAAATACGAGGTATGTTCAAAAGCATACGCTACTTACCTAATACAGGGTGGTCCAAAAGTCTCCATGCATAGGGAAAATTAACACTTTTTAACAAAATGTAACTCTCTTCACAAAATATGCTCTACATGGTTGCCATTACTTTGAATACACATGCGGATGCGACTCTCCCATTCATGGTGAACTCGCGTTAATACATCTGGTGTTATGCGCGAAATTGCATTTCGAATGCGTTCCCTATGTATGGAGACTTTTGGACCACCCTGTATATATCAGCGCCCAAAGGAAACGTTGCATGCTAATGTAGGACGCCGGCATAGTACGAGGTGCGATCTAAAAGTTCGGGAATTCATTGACAAACAATACAAAAGATGAAATACAAAATATTATGTACTAGCGGCCTGCGGCCGCTACGCTGGCCGTCTAGTATGTAGAAATTTGAATCGTCTATTATGAGCATAACTTCTTGACAATCCTCTATTCATTGCATTACCCATTCAGAACTGAACCGCTTCGTTACATTTATACACATATAGCTTATAGTACACAGGGAGATTCTGCTCCTGAACACCATCATCATGATATTCGAGCTGATTGCCACAATCACCATTGTGAACGCCTTGGTTTAGCATGCTTTCATGAGACTCAAGACATTGCTGATTTCGTCTTCCTAGCACATTCAATACTCTTGCATCACCTATTAGCTCATGGGTTATTAGCGTTAGCATATGGTATAGACACCAATGATTCAGAAACAGTATGGACCATTTCCAAGAACTTTATAGAAGACACAGAAGGAATTTAGTTCATGCGCGGCACAATGCTAGCGACTAATTCCAGACCGGCTTTCGACACCTGAGTGCTGCGTTCCTTGCATCAACTTGCTCAGCAGGCTGCACGGCTCCCCTATTCCGGAGATCAGCATTCGCTAACTCTTGCTGTTCAGCGGCCCTAGGCACATCTGCTTGCCATTCATCAGTGATTCTAGCCATTACGGCTAGTACCGATTTAGGCACTTCGCCCCGAAACTGCAGTGGCAAACGTTGTTTCTGCGCCTGCACCAATCGTTTCTTACCAGCAACAGCCTCATCGCCGTCCTGTAGGACCTCTTTCAGCCTTTTTTTACGTTCAACCTCACCTCGCAAAAATCACCATGTTGATGGGAGGAACGGCCCGTTTGCGCGACGTATGAAACGAAGAAATTGAAGAATTCAAAATAAAAACGTAATCAGAACTGAAATAAATCGACCATGACATGAAACGCAAACAAGAAACTATTGCATGGAAGCGATGTCCCGAACCGCCACGCGTAACCTAACAGAAAATAAATAAATACAGAAAAAAACAGCAAATAATTCATTCAAATGGAGAACTTGCAGGCGATTAGTGAAAACGTGACATGCATTCAGTTATTACCACCCTTTGCTTGACACAGCTAAGAATGAAGTCAATGGCTCAGACTGATAAAGCTGGATAGACCTGGCGCTAAAAGCGTTGGATGGCCAAGCCTATTGCCTAGAAGAGCATAGGCTAATGGACATGGTGCTTTGAGGGGTGGATGGCCTAGCCCATGGCCTGAAGTGACATAATGTTGTAGTCCACGCGCGCTGGGGTGACAACCATCACCACAACTCTCGGGCTCTTCAAATTAAAGTACAAGACTAGCGGCCTGCGGCCGCTACGCTGGCCGTCTAATAGGCGGAAATTTGATTCTTCCATTGTGAGCATAACATGTCCATGACATCCTCTGTTCATCGCATTACCCATTCGGAACTGAACCGCTTCATTATCTTTAGGAACAAAATCTCTCTGTGCACCGTAAGCTGTATGTGTATAAACACCATCATCATGATATTCGAGCTGATTGCCACAATCGCCATTGTGAAAGCCTCGTTTTAGCAGGTTTTCATGAGACTTAAGACGACTTGTGCTTTGACAACGTAAAGAACATTCAATACTCTTGCATCACCGATTAGTTTATGGGGCTATTAGCATTAGCTTATTGCACAAATACTACTGATTCTGAAACAGTACGGGGCATTTCCAAGAACTTTTCGACTTTAGCACAGAAGGAAGTTAGTGCGGCACTAACGAATAATTCTTGAAAATGTGTCGCCGCCACATTAGCACCAGTGACCAACACTTTCAGAGCCTCAGGGTAAAGTGTGAGTTTCAGCAGAAGCACTTTTCCGTTGTGGCAGCAATATGAAAAAGATGCCCCCCTCCCTACAGGAAAATTGTATAGCCTGACAGAGTTCGCTGCGGCAAACGACTGTAATTATTGAGATGACATGGAAAATATCCTGAGTTCCGTGTTGTAAGACGTAAGGTGTAACACACCTGACCGGCAAGCAGGAGGTCCGGGTTCAATTCTCGGCCGCCCCCCGGCTTTCGACACCTGAATGTTGCATTCCTTGCTTCAAGTTGCTCAGCAGGCTCCACGGCTCTCCTATTCCTGAGCTCAGCATTCACTGCCCCTGGCTGAGCGGCCCTACGCACACCTGCTTGGTGTTCATTCATTCTAGCCGTTTCGGCTGGCATCTCTCAAAGCACCGATTTAGGCACTTCGCATCGCAACTGCAGTGGCAAAGGTTGTTTCCGCGCCAGCACCAATCTTTTTTTTATCTGCAGCGAATGGCTCATTGCCGTCCTTTGGACCTCCAACATTTTTTCTTTGCGTTCAACATCACCTCACAAAAATCGCCACCATTTTGATGGTATGAGCGGGCCGCTTGCGCGACATATGAAACAAAGAACTTGCGTGATTATGTTGACTTAGTCAATCGAAAGAACTCAAATAAACCCGTCATGACATGAAACGCAAACAGTAAACTATTACATGGAAGCGATGCTGACAAAGCCCGACGAACCTGGCGTTAAAATCGGTGGATGACCAAGCCTATGGCATAGAATAGAATAGCATAGCCTCATGGACCTGGCGCTTTGAGCGGTGGATGGCCAAGCCCATGGCTTAGGATGATATAACCCTACAGACCTGGCTATTTGAGGGGTGGATGGCCTAGCCTATGGCCTGAAGTGACAGTCTCGTAGGCCTCGCGCGTTGTCGTGACCACTATCCTCGGGCATAGGCCTTGCAGTAGGCCTGGCCTATGACCCATAGTGGCGTGGTATCGTAGGCCCTCCCGTTGGGTGTGACAGCCACCGCCACCAATATTGCTCAGCAGGCTGCAACGCTCTCTAATTCCAGAGCTCAGCATTCGTTGCTTCTTGCTGTTCAGCGGTTTGAGTAGCTCTTGTGGGACCTTTCTCAACATATTTTTTTTTCACGTCCAACCTCACCTCGCAAAAATCACCACAATTTTGATGGGAGGAGCGGCCCGTTTGCTCGACGTATGAAACAAAGAACTTACGTTATTACTTTGATTTCATCAATCATGAGAACTTAAATAAATCTTCCATGACATGAAACGCAAACAGAAAACTATTGCATGGAAGTGATGTCCCGAACCGCCATGCCTGACCTAATGGAAAAATATAAAGAAAAAAACTTTGATTGTCACGGTACAAAGCCTACGGCTCAGACTGATATAACTTAATGGACCTGGTGCTAAAAGCGTTGGATGCCCAAGCCTATTGCCTAGAATAGCATAGCCTTTAGGACCTGGCGCATTGAGGGGTGGATGGCCTAGCCTATGGCATGAAGTGACAGCCACGACAACTCTCAGGCTCTTCGAATTAAAGTATACTAGCGGCCTGCGGCCGCTACGCTGGCCGTCTAATCGGTGGAATTTTGAATCGTCTATTGCGTGCTCAACGTCTCCTTCACAATTCTCTGTTCAACGCATTACCCACTCGGAAATAAACTGATTCATTACGTTTATATACATATAGCTTACAGTACACAGGGATATTCCGCTCCTAAACACCATCATGATGATATTCGAGCTGATTGTCAAAATCGCCATTGTGAACACCTCGGTTAAGCCCGTTTTCATGAGACTTAAGACGACATTGCTGATTTCGTCTTCCCAACACATTCAACACTCTTGCATCACCGATTAGCTCATCGGCTCTTAGCGTTAGTCTATGGTACAGACACCAATGATTCTGAAACAGTCCGGACCGTTTCCGAAAATTGTTCGACGGCACAGAGGGAAGTTGGTGCATGTGCGGTACAATGCAAAAGACTAATTCCTAAAAATGCCAAACCTTGCATCAAGTTGCTTAGCAGGCTGAATGGCCTTCCTGTTCCGAAGCTCAGCATCGCTGCCTCTTGCTGTTCAGCTGTTCGGAGCGGCCCTAAGCTCCCAGCGTACATGTGCTTGCTGTTTATCACCGATTCTAATCTAATCTAAGCCTGTGGCTGAGACTGATATAGCCCCATGGACCTGGCGCTTTGAGTGGTGGACGACATAGCCCATGGTTATCGTTTTAATGATCTAGTCTTGTAGGCCTCGCGCGTTGCGGTGACAGCCACCACCACAACTTTTTCCCAGCACATTCAATACTCTTAGCATCACCAATTAGCTCATGGGTTATTAGCATTGGTTTATGGTACAGTTACCACTGAATCTGAAACAGTACGGGTCATTTCCAAGAACCTCTTCGACTTTTGCACTGAGGGAATTAAGCCCATGTGCAGCAGAAGACTAACGAATAATTCCTGAAAATACCTCGCCTCCACATTAGCACCAGTGAAAAACAGTGTGAGCGTTAAGTGTGAGTTGCAGCAGAAGCACTATTGTTTCACATTGCTGCCACAACGGAAATGTCCCCTCCCTACAGCAAAATGCACAGCCTGACTGCTCGCTGCGCAAACGACTGCAGTGATTAAAGGAACGGCCGGGAATCGAACCCGGGCCTCCTGATTGCCGGTCAGGCGTGCTACCACTACACCACCGAACCCTGCACATTCAGTCGAGCCTCTCGATGCCATCCTTATCCGTCACATTATGTTGACTTAGTCAATCGAGAGAACTCAAATAAACCTGTCATGACATGAAACGCAAACAGTAAACTATTGCATGGAAGCGATGCTGACAAAGCCCGACGAACCTGGCGCTAAAAGCGTTGGATGGCCAAGCCTATGGCATGGAATAGCATAGCCTCATGGACCTGACGCTTTGAGCGGTGGATGGCCAAGCCCATGGCTTAGGATGATATAGCCCTACAGACCTGGCTATTTGAGGGGTGGATGGCCTAGCCTATGGCCTGAAGTGACAGTCTCGTAGGCCTCGCGCGTTGTCGTGACAACCACCACTACCCTCGGGCATAGGCCAGACATAGCCTTGCAGTAGGCCTGGCCTATGACCCAGAATGGCGTGGTATCGTAGGCCCTCGCGTTGGGTGTGACACCCACCGCCACCAATATTGCTCAGCAGGCTGCAACGCTAATTCCAGAGCTCAGCATTCGCTGCTTTTTGCTGTTCAGCGGTTTGAGCGGTTCTACCAATATTTGCCTGCTGTTCATCACTGATTCTAGCCATTACGGCTAGACGGCAAACGTACTTTCCGCGTCAGCACCAATCGTTTATTATCTGCAGCTACTGCCTCATCGCCGTCCTGTGGGACCTCTTTCAACATATTTATTTTCACGTTCAACCTCACCTCGCAAAAATCACCACAATTTTGATGGGAGGAGCGGCCCGTTTGCTCGACGTATGAAACA